TTAAAAATATATGATTCGAAAAGTAAAATATAAATTTCGAAATAGATCGATGTTTCGAACTTATACTATTACGTTGAAACGTAAAGAAAAGGAAAGGCACGATACTTCGAAGTGTACACGATGTAATAATGTATTAACGAATGAAAAATTTGATAGGTATTACAACTCATAGAGTTCATCGAGTTGCACAGACTGCTTGGCGCTAGCCACGTGACTTTATACAACGACACGGTCGGCAGTGAGGCCGGATGCGCTCTCAAGTATTACGAAGCTAAAGGTCTGGTGACCGTGTTACCTTGGCATCATTTGGACATGATCTCGCAGCGAGACATTCGCACGGAAGGATTGTTTGCTGCCCTCAACGATTGCCTTTATCGATCCATGTACAGATACGAATACGTGGCGCTGGTGGATCTCGACGAGTTCATTATACCCAGGCACAACGACACTATCATTGATCTAATCAGGTGAGAACTCCTTCTTTTCTTTCATATCGCTCATAAATCTTGAGACAATTATTCTATTCACTTCCTTAAATTTATGTAATACCAAAAACAAAATTATCTTTGTCTCAATTACATCAAATTCGATATTATTCAATGAATAATAACATAATTAACATAAAAAAAAAAAATTCCAGATGGATGAGCAGTCGCATAAACGCCAAAGCCACCGGATCGTATTCCTTTCAAAACGCGTTCTTCTATCTTCAATGGGCGGACGACCCGTTCGTGGTGACCAGTCGCACCCCCATAGAGGCCGGTTTGATCACGTTGAAGAAAACTAGGCGCAGAACGAAGCTACACCCCCACAAACAGCGGTCGAAATACGTTTGCAAGCCCCAGAACGTGGTCGAGGCTGGGAATCACTTTGTATGGGAGTTCATCCCAGGACACGGGACTCTGAATGTTCCATCGGACGCAGCGATTCTCCACCATTACAGGGTCTGCGAGTTTGGCGGCGATGATTGTATAAAGACTCAATCGGTAGTCGATAGAACGGCCTACAAATACAAGAATAGATTATCGGATAACGTTGGGAAAACCTGGTCCGATCTAAGCGGCGAGTGCTCGTTACCCAAATTGGAACCAATTCCGGGTATGACGCCACGGATAAAAGCGAGCCCCAAAGTGTTGAAGTCGGTCAGGTAGCGAAAGACCATTGTCGATACTCTTTGGGATATTGGTAATTTCACTGGTACACCGAAGGTAGCGAGAACATATTTCTACAACTACGGTGGCCCGTAGTTTTCCCACTAGGACGGCAATTGCCTCTCGAAGAGAGAATGTTGTTCCAATGGAGATTCGGGATTTGTATAGGGTGCCATCGTAATAAACGCGTTTTTTCTACCTTTTTGCGGTCCACACGCGCCTGATAAATCTCGTTTAGGAAACGCGGAGAGGAAAAAAAAAAAAAAATAAATAAAAATAAAAAAGAAAAAAAAAACTCGGTGCCTGTCTGTCTATCAACGAGCCAAATGTTTGGAGGTGCCGATGCGGCACTTTGTTGAGAATGTTTGCGACGCTAAGCTGAACGAAAAGCTGACGAATAATATAATATTTTTCTACGTGAGAAAGACTCACGATCGACCGGCAAAGATCCGAGGCGACGAACTTTCCCGGACGATCCTGTATCTCTTACGCTATGGTGCTTCTTTCACGATTTTATACGGTATTGTATTTATGTACGAGTTTTATTTTTCGTTCGAATCGAAGCCGAACTATAGGATGTGAGAAAAATATAAAATATAATATAAGGAAATATTGTGAAGAATATCGCGCGCAGGGCCTAACGTTTCCGGTCTACATCATCATCGGCTATAATGTGAAACGTCTGATATCGTTATCTTGTTGATCTCTACTCTTCCCCCCTCTCCCTCCCTCCCTCCCTCCCCTCTCTTTTATTTCACACCTATAAATCCGCACAACGTATAAAGAAAAACGTACGCATATCCATAGGATCAATAATTATAGTGGTAGTTTATGTATGTATAATATGTATCTAGAACATCTAGTATTTAATCCGATAGAGCGAAACGCGTAGAATGCGAAAATGTTTTTAAAATGCCGTTTACACGTAACCGATTTTTTATTCGATCGGTCGATTTACGATAGAACGAAGAACGTTTTCAATTCGAAGGAAAAAAAAAAAAAAAATAAATAATTGGGTTCACCTTTTATGGCGACTTATAACCGATAATAATAGATTGCGTTCCACGATTTTATTCGTTGTCGAACAAGTCTCAAGCGAATAGTTTTTAATCCCTGAAAGTGTTTTTTAAGAACGTTGTTATAATAATAATAATAATAATAATAATAAATAATAATAATAATAATAATAGTAGTTGCATTTCAAGATGAACGTAATTGTTACAACACAATGGTGGGAGTATTTATGGTCAGCTAGATAGTGGTTACAGATTTGAGCGTTATGACAATGAATATTGCAAACTGTTTCTATAATTTCTTTCGTAATGTCACATTTTTTACGCGCACATACATTTATGTATATATGTGTATACACGAAAGTGTACGTGTATTTACGTACACAGCATGTAGGATAGGTGATGAATACGTACATGTGATCGGTGCTAAGCCACAATCAACATGCCGCTCGGCCGTGTTGAGAGAATTAATAAATATTATACGACGACAATATGTATTTTGATTCCCTTGAAAATATATTTCGTAAATATATAAGTCTGGAATACATGTACAATTATACGAATAATTGAATTTCAAAAATTATTTAAAAACACGTATGTCGTACATATATACATATATATCTTAAGTATTTTTTACAAAATTATTCGATCACGAAGACTATAATATTAATTACTTTTTATTAATATCTATTTACAGTTATTGTAAAAACATGCGCATAGAGATCGATAATTACATGGGCGGTATATTTTGGAATTTTTGTAATTCTTTTTTGTAAATGTTTAAAAATCCTCATCCGAATGATCTAGCTTACTAACGGCTCGTTTTTCTTGTCCAACCTTTAAATCAAAATTCCTAATTTCTGGCTCTCCCACGACGGAATCTAAAATATCGTCATCGTCATCATCGTCAAGATCACCATCGATCAACAGATCACTGTCGCTATCTAGCGATCCACCACTGTCGTTCGATTCTTGTATAATTCCTTTCTGACGTCCAGACATACTTCCATAAATACGACGTTGCGATATTTGCATTCTCGATGCTCGACCAGCTATTGTGATGTTACAAATGATTAATTATTTTAAATCTAAGTTATGTATCATAGAAATCTTTTTTTTTTCAAAATATTAGAAAGAAAAATGTACTATTTTTTTTATACCTGATTTTAATCGACTGCTCGGTGTTACTTTTTCGGTATTTTGTTTTTCAATATTGGTAAGAGGAGGTGGAGGCTCTTGAAGATTAATAGGCAATATAGAATCGTTTCCTTCCATCATACTTTCGAAGTTGATATCTTCCGCTCTCATCTTTTCTAATTGTTTTCGCGTTGCTTCTTGCCTGTTACGAAATATTACATTATCTTGTTTGCATAGAATACACATATTAGCTTTTATAATTTATTTAATCGCAATTACCGCCTTTCAAATCTCTCTTGTTCCGTTTTAGCTGAATCTTCGTACAAATGTTCGAGATATGCCAGATAACGAAATTTTTGAATATAATCGTCGTATAAAATTCTTAATTCAACTTCAAGTTTCTCAAATTCTTCCATGAAAGCTGGGCGTACTTTTTTTAATGTTTGCAATCTCTTTTGATTTCTGTCGAGTTCTGCACGTCGCCTTTCAATCCTTGCATCCAAATTCTGTTCCGTGTCCTTAAATGAGAAATTGGAAAAATTATGTATCGAGAATCTAAAGTATTTTTAAGAATAAGATCGGAAAGTAATGATACCTTGACACTCTCGATTTGTTTCTTGGTTTCTTCAATTTCTTTACGTATATTTTCAATAACGCTTTTCAATGCCGTCTCGATTTCCGAGATATCAAATTGTCTAGCAACCTTTGAATTACGAATTTCTCTGAGATCAACTTCACGTCCTAACAAATCAAATAGTGATGCACCAGTTACGGTCAACTGACTAGCTAATTGTCTAGTTGACTTTAATTCGTTTATCTTATTGGAAATGTCGAAATTAACTGTATTAAAATTGTCATCGGACATTACATTATTAATATTACTGTTATTTTGCGCATCGTATAATAATGTGGCAACTTTTAATAATTCTTTTACGGCATAGCCATCGGCTTGGTATAATTTTTTCGTATTTAATTTTATATTTGTTTTTAAGGCCTATATTAAAATCGTTTGATAATAAATTTTAATGTAAAAATATAATTCGTTTAAAAATAAAATAAAAAGAAAATTAAAAAAAAAAAATGAATTAGATGTTTAAAGAAATATTTATTTTCATTAAACGTAGAAATAAATATAAAATTCAAGATTTTTTTTTACCATAAATTCAGCAACAGCGCGGATTAATGAGATACGCTCTTCTTCAGTGCTATGATCACTAGATATATCTGTATCTGGGTCAAATCTTTTAACCAACCAAACAAGAATTTCTGCAACTAATGGAAAATTCGGTAATCGAAAATTTCCAACAGAAATTAATCTGGGATAACCAAGAACTCGCATTATTTCCGTGAAATCTATCGAAGAACAAATACAATTATTATATTATATCATATATATTGTATTAAAATATTTATTAATTAAAATTTACTTACTTCTTAAGTCACGAAATGACATTTTTTATGCAAAAATAAAGTTAAATTAAATTGCAATGTTTTTCTTTAACTTTTCACGTTATGTTTTGATTTTCGTTTCGGACGTTGCCAAGGAAACGCATAGAATTGAATTAAATAAAGGATTTCTCATTGAAATTGTAATCAATTTTAATGAGAAATATTATATAGAATTATTAATTCTATATTTTTTTTATTATATAATTAAATTTTTCTTTAATCAACTAAAAAATTTAGAAAAAAGTTAAGTTTAAATAAAATTTTTAATTATTATAATTATTATATATCATGTACAATTATCGTTACAACATATCATATGTTAAACTTCATTTATTTAAAAGTTTATTATTCTATATGATATAATATAAGGATATAATATAAAGAAATTCAAAAATTCATAGGAGCTTTTTTAAATTCTTTCATCATAGAATGCTTTCGTTTTTCAAAAAGTCTTTTCCTTGCTGCTCTAAGATGTTGTTTCCTTTTTAATTCTAAAGTTTCTGGAGATGTTTCTGGTGGAGGTTTCGTCGCTTCCCATATCATATCTCTTAATTTTCGAAGAGCATCAGCTAAATTTAATTGTTGAGACCTTGTTAATTCTGACTTGATTATAAGATAACCCTCTTTAGATAATTTATCTTTATACTGTAACAATAATATTATTATGAATTCTTTTTTTCCATAAAATTAATTTTAAAAGTTACAAACCTGTTCCAATAGTTTGCTTTTAATCTCTTCTGATAACCATTTAGCGCTTTGTAAATGAAATCTTATATTCACTTTACTATTTGTACAATTTACATGTTGTCCTCCTGCACCACTACTACGGCTATAAGTAATATTAAGTTCTTTAATTGGTATATAGCCATTAAATTTAGCATTTGGATCCTCAGGAACCTGAAAATTTTATATAATTATATTATAAGATTTTTCATCAATGATTAATATAAATAATTTATTAAATAATTTATAAAATGATAATTTGGAAAAACAAATTCATATAAAGATTCATTGTAATGTAAATATATTCCAAATATATTGATATTACAATAAACTTACAAAGGTTGGTGTGAAGAGTTTTATACTATGTGTAGGGTATAATTTATCAAGAGAATAAGCACTTTTATAAGTGAAAACTTTTCCAAAAATAGAAAAATTATTATAAGGTATTTTAAAAATTTGAATCCATTGTTTAGTGGTAATATTCATTTTGTTATTTTTTTATTTTCAAAATCATAACATAACCTATATCGCGCGAGTAATAAACTTATCGTCTGAATATTGTCACTTATTTATTTTCGAGAATCGATTCTTACAAAGATTTATCAAGATATTTCGATATTTTAAATTCTTTTGCAAAAAAGAATAAACGATTTATGTTTTGATAAAATTATAATTAATTGTAATTTATCATGAAAAGTTATTAATTAATATTTAATATATATATATATATATAATGTTTTATGAATGTGTACAAATATTTCAAATGAATGCATTATTTTTATTTAATTTTATTTTATTTAATCATAATATGTTACATTACATTGCATAATATTAAATATATGAATAACATTATATTAGATCATTATTTTTGTAAATAAAATTAATTTATTTTGATTAGTTTGTTATTACATAGTATTATTATTATTAAATTTTATTTACATTTCAGATTTTTTTAATCTATTTATAAATTTTATATTAAATTATTTGTATTATATTTATATTAAATATGAGTCTCTATGTAGTCACCTCCTCGTTGGTGAGACTCGATAATTAGCATTACTTTCCACTATATTCACTTTCCACATAATTCTTGATTATAGAAAATATTATATAAAAAATATTATTAAAAAAATTATATTATAAATTATAAATATTACATTAAAAATTTTTTTTAAATAAATATATATATATAATATTAGAAAGATTAATTCTTGGAAAGTGATGCCAAGCTAAGAACTACGCTTTAATTTATTCTTTTATTTTTCAGTTTTCTTCAATTTAATTAAATTATATATTAATTTCATTTTTTTTATCTTTTTTTTATTATTTATATTTATTTTTTTTAATCTGATTAATTTTTATGTGAAACTAATAATTAATAATTAATTCTTATTATATTTTTCATAAATAGGCGTTTGATATTATAGAATATTTATATTAAATCCATAATTATATATTTCAATTTTTGCGCGGTTAAATAAATAAGGAATCGTGCGTTTCAGCCAATCAGAAGTGTTCTAAACAAACCTATGACTCGTGGCGTCATTCGTTTATAGAAAATCATCGTGACAGGATACCGATTCGAGAATCCTATTACGCAGTAAGTAATTTTATTTATATTCTATTATCGAATTTATGAATTATCGTTAACTTTGTTTACTTAATAATTTATTAAACACTGTAATAACGAAATTAATTAGTCCTTTAATTTTTTTGTACTTTTATCTTTGATCGTTTAATTGATCGTCCAGTTGAGGTTATTTGCTTGTATCGATAGTTTTTGTTGTATCATAAATCTTTTAATATATTATATTATAAAATTTCACTTCAGTTATTGTGTTATTTTCATTTATTTTAATTTTATATTTGTTTTTTTATGTTTCTAATTTTTATTTTTCCAGATTATCGTTTCATTGCTGAGATGACTTCGAAAAAATAATCTACGATTATTATATAATATATATAATTTATAAATGATGGCTTTTTTTGGATATCAGATAAGATTTTATTTATTCTCATTTTAATAGATGTATTATTTAAAATAAAATATATTAATTTTCGAAATATTATTCATATCGAATTGAATGCATATTTGTTTTACGAACAATTTTATTTCATCAGATTTAATTCAGTGACACATATTTATTTTCTAATTGAATCCATCTGTGTTGTTCATATTATTTTTCTTTTCTTTCGTTCATGTTATGCTCGAAGCTATAAATATTTTTTAACGTATAACTTTTTCAATAAATTTAGATTCGCGTTCGAAGTATGTTCGACATCTTTTTACTCGTTGCTCTAATTCGCAATTCGATAATCGAAATTGATCGTGGAGTATCATTGTATTATCGATAATTGAAAGTTTGATTATTATTCAATTATAATATAATTATTTATTTTTTAATTTTATAATTGGTAAGTATATCTTTTATTAATATATTTATTTTTTATTATTATTTTATTTTTTATTATATATATTATTTATATACGATTTGTTATCGACCTATCGATCATATCCCCTTCCTAATTTCTATTTCGATAATCGAAATCGTGGCGTGGAAAAGCATCAGTCTAGTTTCGATAATTGTGGAATTTAGACGTGTCATTTTTTCGTGTGGTGTGTGATTTGTCTATTGCATATAATTTATTTCTAGTTATAATTTATTATTTGTACGTTAATATTTAATTATTAAGTGTTTCTTATTATAACTAAAAATCATTTAGTGGCTAAATTATTCTTTTTTTCGCGATTTATTCATTCCTTATAATTACAGGTTAGAGACACAGGTAATTCATATTATAACATTTCCACATAAAATTTATGTTTGATTATTTTTTTATTATGTAATTATATAATGTAATTGCTTAATCTTAATGTTTATTTGAAAATCTGGTTTTTTTTGTGCAGATTATTAGTCGATTGTTGGAAGGATGAAAAGGCGCGAAAATTTTCAATATGGACGCCATAATGTCTTTTGTCTCAAAAAATATTTCTGATCGCAATTTGTAGAGTCAGTGTTTGCTTCGTAATAGTATTTTTAATATTTTTTACATTTTTCTTGTAATATCTCTAATTATAATAATTTTTCGCGAAATTAGAATCAGTGTTTGTTTGTCGATTATATATATATATATATTAGAGTCAGTGCATCAGAAACATAAGACGATCGATCATCACGCAAAGAGGTAACTATTTTTATATATTTTTCATAATTTGAAATTCATCTTTTTTCAAATATTGAGACTGAAATAATGCTAATAATGTTTTGTTGTAGTTTCTCCTATCAAATGATGGCTTCTCTATTTGGGTAATAGCAGCAGATTGATGACAACGCAGATTCTTCGCATCTAATGGTGAGTCGCATGCATTTTGATTCCTCCAGTCACTCAATCATATCGTAGGACGAAAAGTCTGAATCGATACGGGTGACAGGTTGTATACGTAGAATTTTGCACGAGCACAGTGACCATGAGTATTTATACTCATGAGTAGTAACATTTTCTATATTTTATTTATTTAGATCAGGCTAGGTCTTCTTGCATGTCGCATTTTTAATACTAATATTATTCTAATAATAATACATTGATACGAATATTCGAAAAATATAACAAATATGTCTTAAATGATTTAATTACTTCACTTTTAAGATAGCAAAAATAAATTTTAGTGCAAGAAGACATTTCGCGACAGGTAGATTTTGATATCAAAGCTACAAGTTTTGAATACTTTTGTTGTGTTTTTGAAAATATGCTTTGATGGAGGAATCGCCTGAGATATTTTCATTAATATTTAAATTTGAATCAATTACTTCATTGCATTGTAACTTAATCTCTTTTTCAATAGATGCATTTTCTTTTGATTAATAATTCTTTGTGAAGAATATTAGAATTCAATATTTTATTACATTGGAAATAGAATAGAGTCATTTTAGATTTAATAGAAAATTTTAGATAAGATGAGAATATGGAAAATCAAAGTCCATTAACCCGTTAATAAATATAATATTATACTAATATTATATATTTTTTTAGCTCAGGATTTTCAGATTTAATCCCTTCCATGTTCGTTACCAGGATCTCACTCACGTGCCCAGGTGCTACTTGAGTGAGAGAAAGGTGATGAGCATGATGAGCCTATTTTATAAGTTTCTAACAATTTCTCAGCGATTGACGATGCGTTAGTGTATCGTGCGCGACGTATTTTCCACATTATGTGTGTGTGTGTGGTTAGGCCGTGGAATTGCGTCGTTACGACTATCATTTAATTCACAATTATGGATTGAATCACAAGAAACTGCACAATAACAATATTAAATCCGCTATTAAATAATCAATAAATTATTAATCCTATCATATTTCAAATTATAATAATAATATCAAAATTCGTATTATCTATTTAATAAAATCATTTTTTTTAGAAAATACATATATTTTTTCAATTATGAATATTCACGATTAAAATTGAGATGCGTACAAGATTTTATCGCGATTTACGCAATGGTCACTAGCCATCGTCAATCGATTTCAGGAAAATGGTACGTAAAGTTAGAGTGTGGGAGTTGTGTGCCAAGCTCGGGTGTCGGAGGCGTCCCGGGACGCTTTCCCTAGTGTAGGCTCATTGCGCCCGAGTGTTATGCGTGAGAATCGTTGGAACGAATGTGTTGGTGTGCCTGTTTTGCCAATTTTTAAATATAGGGTTAGGTAGGACAGGTAGTATACTTTCTGGTGCGAATGTTAGTGGATAAGTAGGTAGGGCCGGGCAGGTTGTCACAATCTCCGCTCGGGTAGGCGCGTTTTCGCGTGGCAATCTGTTTCAGGCAATAAAATTTGAAGAATCGCGGGCAAAGCTGGAACGAGCGAAGCGCGTCATTCCTTTCTGGCTTTGCTCATCGATTTTTCGAATTTCGCGGTCGCGGTCGCGATTCGGTCTCGAAACGAACGTTGCGCTCGAGATTCCGTATTTAGCTTCCGTAATTTTTTTCTTTTATTTTTTATTTTTTTTTTCGCGAATAGGGAATCTCGAGCCTAGATTTAAGTTTCAGCGGGCATCGCGCCCGAAGGAGGAAGACCGAAGAGGCCCGACAAACTGTCACGAAGAGGGCTGCACCGAATGGCTTCTCATTTTTTAGATCTTGTTTCGGGTCCAAAGAATGGGAAGTCATTGTTACTACCTCGTCACTGTGCTCGTTTAGTAATATGTAGTATATGTTTTTGTATGCGTTTTTGTCTGGCCGTTGCATGCGGGCCCATCATCGTCCAGTCGTCATGGGGCAAAAATCGTGATTTTTGAATTAGTATTGCGTTATAAACGATGAAGAATTAGTATGATTTTTTTTATTTTTTTTTACTTTTTATTCGAATTTAAATTCACTCTCCAATGTATCGATATTTTTACATCGCGATCGTTTCAATTAATAAATAAATAATCGCGTTTTTGAAATAGTATTGCGCCCATGATTCTTCCACGATGAATATGGAAGATGTTCCTGGACCACTTAATTACAAGAGCTGCATAAGAGTGGTTGTA